TCGGCAGTCTGGATCGGCATTTTTACATGTCTTGCCGATACTCTTTTTTTTTTCCAATATCAGCGTCCGATCCGATACGTGGATCGGATTGGGACAAGCCTAGTCATGATTACTTTTCAGATATCGGAAATAATTTAACATTACAGGTATCCAGAAATTAATTTCTTTACATCAAAAATATATTTCTGCTAGTAGAAATGTATTTACAGATATCAACTACTTATTTTGTGAGTAGTTAAATTAGAATTACAGATATCTCAATTTTAATGATGCCTATCTAAAATGTAGTTTTAGATACTTGCAAAAGAATAATGAAGCTTTGTTTAAACATTATATAGGCAGGCTGACTAGTCACATTTCTATTATAGATAATACTTAAGCATTCTACCAAGTCATATTTGTACTGGTAAGAACTACATTACAGATATCTACAAATCTTTACTTATTTTAAGTTGCCGTTTTAACATATATTTGTTTGTATTTCAGATATATTTAATAGTATTCCTCCTATCTAAAATAAACATGTTAAATATCTGAAATGTAATTCTGAACTTAATGTAAAGGAGCATCATAAATGAAGCAGCAGATGCTTCTCTGCTGCTGAAATCGCCTCTGGTGTGAACGTAGCATTAGGTTCCACCCTCTAGTGGACACCGCCAACATTACAACTTGAAAAAGGGTTTTTTATTTTTATTTTACATCATTAATCGGATGGAACAAATTTTTACCTCATTAATCATTAATCCAATATTACTCATAATTGGATTATTTGTTTATATTCCTCGTAAAAATGTGTTGAAAAAAGATCAGCTGTTTCCATCCTCTGTGGCTTCCTTATGTGTAGAAATATTAAACTTTAGAACCCGGCTTTAAAGCCTGTGTTTCTGTCATGTTGGTCATATGGACATTTGGTTTTCACTTCAGGAACATTAAATCCTACAAGTTATTTAATTGAACTGGATTTGCTATTTTTATTTATTTTTTTTATTCCTTAAATGTTTAAAAATACAGGCTGGGAAAAAAGCTTTTTAAGATTATTTAAAGAAGTTTAAATCTTCACATTCAATGTAATACTTACTTTTGAAGTAAAAAGTGAACCCTAAGGTGAGATTCAAATAGCTGCATGAAGGAAACTAAAGCAGCTCTGAGTCATTTAAAGATCATTCCTCTAAACCAGAAACCGTCGTCAAGGGAAGGAATTCAAAGCGTTCCTAACAGAACCAGGTCCTCCTTTCCAGCTTCAGCAGTGGAGCAGCGGCCGTGTTACTCTAATTTCAATATTGATGTTTTATTGGGTGATGAAATGTGTTTTTTTCATGGATGTTGCCTCCTTTGCACAATTAATCTTTATCTTAGTGGGACTTCCTGGTTAAATAAAGGTAAAAGAAAAGAAAAGATGCTTGAAAATGTTTAGGAACCCTGAGATTTCATCACAGGACATACAGCAGGTTCTCACTAACGTTGATATGAAAGTTCAAACCTGTTTAGCTTTCATGGAAGGTGAGCAGGAGAGAAACATTTAACATGAAAGATAAGCAGAAAATTTCAATTTCAGTTGGAAAACAAAGACAAGGGGGATTCAATTCTATTCAGTTTATTTCTATAGC